CGGCCTTGAAACGACGTAGTTTTGGTATTAAACTACGTCGTTTTGTGTCTTGGGGGTGAGCTGTTCGGACTGGTGGTTTGGGCCGTTCAATTGGGTTCCAGATTTTGAAATGGGCACGGCCCAAATTCATTTTACAACAAATTTTTATCTTCTTTTCTTTATTTCTAATTTCCTAAATACACAACCTAATTAAATAAAACTAAGCACCACTAATTAACACTTAACATATTTATTTCACGCGTATAAAATGTTAAAAGTAAGTAAAATTAAACAAGGCAACAAATCAGGATAAAAGAAAGAATGCGTTTTTTTTTGTAATTTTCCATCTAACAAACGGGTCATGGTTTAAATTACGCATGACACATACATTTTTAATTCTTTTGGAGCGATTGTCGCGTAAAACAAAAATCACGTGCTCACAAGTGCAATCTGTCTTATTTGGTATTCAAGCTTATTGGTCTCAACTGTTTTTGATTCCTAGCACGGTTTTGAAGACTATTGAAGCATAATGCAGAAGCTATGTGTGGTCAGGAGTCAATGTCATTACAAGAAGATCTTTGGTAGCATGAGATAAAATGTCTACTCCTAAAAGTGTTGGGGGACTAAATCTAATCAATCTAAAAATATGGAATAGAGCAGCAACAATAAAAAAACTACTGGGATCTAGCAAACAAGGGTAATAAGATGTGGATCAAATAGATACATGCATACTATATAAAAGGCCAACAGATGTCTGATATGCCAATACCAAATTTGGCTTCCTGGTTAGTTAGAAAGATGGTGGAGGCAAGAAGTTCAGTAGAAACAATTCATATTCAACTAAAGAGGAACAACAACATGATCAGACAACTATATTTGGCTATGATGGGTCAATTGCCAAGAGTAGAATGGAAGATATTCATATTTCGAAATGAAGCAAGTGCAAATGCTAAATTCACAATGTGGCTATACTTCCAAGATATGATGCTGGGGATGCAGGTGGACAAGGAATATGTTCTGTGTAAAGTGCATGATGAGAACACGAAGCATATTTTTATTGAATACGAGTATACTAAGAGTGTATGGACAAGACTGTTAAAATGGATGCAGAGGCAACCAGTCTGGGCAACTTCATGGGACCAACACTGGAAATAGGCTGCAGAGAATGCAAAAGGGAAACCAAGTAAGGCAGGAGTATTCAAGATGGTGTATGCAGAAGCAATTCATGTGATCTGGAATGAGAGAAATCACAAGATATTTGAAAAGCAAAGCAGGAAATCTGAAGAGTTAGCTAGGAATATAACATGCATATGTAATGTTAGAGCAACAAATCAAAATAGGCAGCTTATACAAAAATTTCAATTCTGATTGTAAGTAATAGTAGAGAGGAGGTGAGTTATAGTAGATATATGTATAGTTTGGAGAGGTAGAACAAATAGGACAATAGGCTGAGTTGTAAGCCAACTGTGGATTTGTAAAGCTTCAACGGAGATTAATGGAAAATTTTAACTATCAAAAAAAAAATTAAAATAAAAACAAAAAGAAAAGAAACTAAAAAGTAACCTTGTAATTACACATTGTAATTACCATTAATCTACCTTCCCTTGAGAATTGAAGAGTATAATTACATCCAGTTTTATACTGACCAAATAATTATTTGGCAAAATAAATATGTCAAATTGTATAATTAGTCTCAATTACATTCAAATCCAATTCCTAGGTGGTTTTCCAAACATGTTCTTAATGAATGGTCGAGTAGATCTCAATGGTATCCTGGATAAAAGCCATCTGGTTGTTTAGAATTTTAATGGTTTGGATTCATTTGATTTTTTCTATTGATTTGATTTGGGGACTAAATTACCGCCGGAATCTATGGATCAAGATATTTGTGAAAACAGACAAGGCGTCAAATCGAGATGCATGTGAGACATTAATTAGCCAATAAATTGAACACACATAAACAATTATTTAATCTGTCTCCAGTGTCGGTGTTCTAAACAACTCTTAATGAATTTAATTTAATTTAAAGTTAACGACAACGCCTTTGCATTCAAATATAACCCATCGGTATACTTTAATTTTTGTTCGTTTTTCTTTTTGGACAAGAGGGGTCAAGCAACCCCACTTCCAGCCGAGAGATTGTGAGTTCGAGTCTCCCCAAGAGCAAAGTATTGTGAGTTCGAGTCTCCCCAAAAGCAAGGTGGGAAGTTCTTGGAAGGAAGGATGTCGGGGGTCTATTTGGAAACAATTTCCCCAGACTCCACTAAATGAGATTATATTGGGTTGTTGTTGTTTCTTTTCGGGCAAAAAATAAAATTGACCGTTCGATTGAAATTAATAAGTTTTGCTAACCAATTTCTCTATCTTTTTTTTGTTTTTTTTTTTGTTAAGGAGGTAAATAATTGGCATAGTGGTTGTGAAAATGTGGAATCGTGTCGGCACATGAATGGTCACACCTATTTTCTACCACAATTTTTTATGTCTGACTAGAAACAGGAAACTCATGTAATTGGAAAACCGTGTAAGAACACATGTTATCATAAAAAATTTTACTTAACTATAAGGGGTCGTTTGGTTTGAATATAGCTTATACCGGGATAAATTATACTGGTATAAGTTATATTGAGATTATTTTTTATCCATTATTTGGTATGTTGTATTAAACATGACAATTGCATAATTTGTAAGAAGAATGTATAAGTTATACCGGTGCTAATTACTCAACTCTCTAAGGTATAAGTTATCCCGGTGTTAATTTTAATCATGGGATAACTTATACCTGATTTGCTAACCAAATGAAGTATTAAGGTGATATTAAATTTTTATACCATCATTATACTTTCTTATACCTCATATCAAACGACCCCTAAGTCTATAATTAGACATTTTGCTAAAACTATGTTTGTCGCCTGGCATGCAGGGTCGGATGTATAATACGGATACCAGATACATCTAAACCCAATTTTTTTTAATATGAAGTATAAAATTCATTCGTAAAAATTCATTAAAATTATAATAAATAATAATCTCATAATTTAAAATTAATACTCAGAACCTTACATATTAAACTTATAAAGTTTGAAATTTAGATCGGCGCACCCAGGGGCGGATTTAGGGGGCGCAACCCGAACCCCCTTCGTCGAAAAAATACACTGTATACATAAGACAAAATCTGTTTTTTACCTTTATATATTGAGTTTTGAATCCTCTTAACACAATCCAAAAGTGTAGTTTAGTGGTCAAGGGAGTTCAAAATTTACATAAGGTCATGAGTTCAATTTACCCTAGATACAAAAAAAGATTTTTAAACCCCTTTCGTGGAGATCCTGCCTCCGCCACTGGGTGCAGCCATACAGTTACTTGTCATAATGGTCTAAAAAAACAGCTATGAGCTGTTTGCCTATCTGCCATTCAAACATATAGTCCAAATGCTACTAATTAATATAATGTTAAATCGAGTTATTGTACAATCTAGATGTCAATAGCTAAATAATTAAGTACCAACCATACCTACCAAATAATTTAATACAATTATACGTGTCTTTTTCCAATTTGCACAGTTGCACTAGCTTTATCACTCAAAAAAGGTTGGCCCCATTAATCAGTAAATTATTACTACACCTTTAGCCATCCACAATAAATTGTCGACTCATCGATCTGCTTACCACCAGCTAATATTTGACCCGTTATTATGAATTTTTATATTAAGCTTATATTTTTATACACGGCTAGTATAAAATAATTCTATAAAAAAAAAGTTTACTTAAAAAATAATCACAAATTATTATTTATAAGTAAAAATTAATAACCTAAAACAAGTGATTCTAATTGGTATTGTAGATTAACGTAGACTAGTAGTATAATTAATTTATATTGTCAGTGTATACTTATAGTAGTAATTAAGTTAATAGCAATGTTTTACTTTTGAAGGGAGTTTTGGAGTAACCGTATAACTATTTTCGTGTGACTTTAGGTTACGAGTTCGAGGAGTAGAAATATTCATTAGTGCTTGCATTAAGTTAAATTGTCTATAAATTAAATCACACATCGTGAGCAGAGGCGGGTTTAAAAATTTAAGTTTATGGGTTCTTACATAAATCTTAAATTAATATATAATAATGACTTGATTAACAGATTGAGTTCAAGTTAAATATTCTTATATATTTATTGAATTTTTTAATATAAATATCAGATCTAGACAAAAGTTACTAGGTTCACGGGAACCCGTAACTAATGCATTGAATCCACCCATGATCTTGGGGTGCGGCCCTATCTGAGATCTTATGTGAATACAGAATATTTTATGCGTTGAGCTGCCCTTTTAAATAATATTATTATATTTACTTTTTATCTATTATTCCTTATATGAAAACATATACTCCATTATACTATGTGCAAGTTTATGACCACATATAGAACCACCGACAGCTAATCCTCACAAAAGACAACATCACTCGGATAAACACAAAAGGAGAAATATTTAGCATTTTTCTCGTTTAATTTAATAATTTATTAATAAACCTAGCTAGTTATAGTCAAATTTCTCTATTATAATAATTTTTTTATAATAACACACTTTATTATAATAATCAATTTTTTTTTGAAATGAATTTTTATATTATATTATAATATATATTTTCATAACACCACTTTGATATAGTAACAAAATTTTATTGAAACAAATAAGATTAGTATAAAAAGGTTCGACTGTATATGTCAACTGTACTATTTTTCTGGAAACAATCTCTCTATCCTTCGGGTAGGGATAAGGTCTGCGTACATATTATCCTCTTCATACCCCATTTGTGAGATTATATTGGATCGTTGTTGTTGTACTCTTGTTTTCTTTCTAAAAAAAGAAGACCACCATTGTATGGTGGAGATTTAGCCAATGGTACGCATCCTTCTAAAAGACCAACTTAATTATAAAAAAAAAAAACTTAATAATAAAAAAATAAAAAAGCTGCTACACTTAATTCAAAGCTTCATGTTTCTTTCCCAAAGATGCCCTGATACTGAAAATGGTTCTTCAAAGAAAATTAACCAAAGCCATTGAGCTCAAATACAACATGCGCTCAGTCAAATCTCAAGTCCCTGTAAACCACTGCTTATGGCTTATTATTACCATATTTCTCCAGATTATCATCCTCTTCTTCCTCCTCCGCTCATCACAGCCGTCAAACACTCAACACGCGGTGGCTCTCAACCCCGGCGACTGCCAATCCGGTTACGTTTACGTCTACGATCTTCCCCCAGCTTTCAATAAAGAGCTCATAGACCAATGTCACGAGTCAGACCGAGGCTGTGGTGCAGTTTCGAATGGTGGGTTTGGAACCAAAGCTACTGGGCTCGAACATATTGTACCAAGAAATCTCACTCCAGCTTGGTACTGGACTGACATGTATTCTGCTGAGGTTATTTTTCATAACAGAATGTTGAGCCATAAGTGTAGGACTTTAGATCCAGAAAAAGCAAAAGGTTTTTACATTCCGTTTTATGCTGGGCTTGATATTGGTAGATTCTTATTCAATTATTCAGCTAAAGATCGAGATCGGAAAAGTGAAATGCTTCTTGATTGGTTAAAAGAGCAACCAACTTTCACTAGAAATAAAGGAGTTGACCATTTTATTATGCTTAGTAGATTAACTTGGGATTTTCGTAGATTAACTGATAATGATGCAGATTGGGGTTCGAAATTACTTCACATGCCACTAATGAGGCACGTGTTTCGTTTATCAGTTGAGAAACATCAGAACGATAATTTAGAAGAAAGTGTTCCTTATCCTACAGCGTTTCACCCAAGGTCAGAATCCGACATAGTACAATGGCAGAATTACATCCGTAGTTACAAACGTACGAAGCTGTTTTCATTCGTTGGTGCTAAACGTGAGAAAATCAAGAATGATTTTCGAGGGGTATTAATGGATTACTGTAAAAGCGAGGAAGATTGTTGGGCGGTTGATTGCGCCACCGGCATATGTTCCGACGGAGCTCCGGCGATAATGGAAACGTTTCTTGGTTCAGATTTCTGTTTACAACCAAGAGGAGATGGGTTGACTAGACGGTCAATGTTTGACTGTATGTTGGCCGGTTCAATTCCGGTTTATTTTTGGAAAGGAACATTTAAAGGTCAATATGAATGGCATTTGCCGTGGATGCCAGAGACTTATACAGTATTTATTGATAATAGAGATGTTAGAGCTACAAATGGGAGTTTGATTTTAAAGGTATTGGAAAGTATTCATAAAGATAAAGTAAAAGAAATGAGGGAGACTTTGATTAATCTTCTTCCTAAGTTTGTTTATGCAAGATCAGGTGAAGATTTAGGGAATGTTAAAGATGCATTTGATATCAGTATCAACAGAGTATTGAAGAGGTTGGAAATTGGCAGAAATCAACTTCTTACCCAGAATCAAGCATTTTTTGAGTCGTAAGAAGAGTTTCTTTTTCTGTAATTTTAATTTTTGTTTGTTAACATATTTTTATTGATTGATAGTTATAGTTAATTTTCGAAGGTGGTAATTACTGTACCTTATTTCAGATATGCTGAAGAAAAAGTTTTATACCATTATTTATTCACCATTTCATAAATCTCCGAACATCTTATGCTCCCCACACTCCACTTGTGAGAAATTACTGAGTTTGTTGTTGTTGTTGTTGGTAAAACTGTGATGTATTACCATAGACAAACCAAACTTTACCCTATCGAACACTTAAGAGAAGAAACAATATGTCTAATTCTCTAAGCCTCGAAACAAAAAAACAGCTAGTTATAAAACTGTTGGATCAGGTATGTACATTTACTTGCTTTCCTAGAGTTTTTCCTGCATTCTATCCTTTCAACAATTTCTTTCTTTATCTGTTCTACAGCTATTCATGTAGTAATGTATGTTCCTCTAAATTGCTTCCAGTTTCTTGCTTGCCAAGTGTGATAAATCCTGGACCCCAGTAGTGCAGCTGCTATTTCCTTCTTGAATTGTTTCCAGTGCCTCCTTTTGATCCAACTTAAACACTGAGTAGTCCTATGTTTTTGTATTCTAATACCTGACCATGTTTCCAAAGCTTCTTGCACTTTCAGTGTCCAACTACATTCATGGAATATATTCAGATGTGTTTCCCACTTACTATCAACACATAGATAACATGTCTCAGCTTCTACTGGAATATTGAGTCTAGTCATTCTCTCCTTTGTTAGCAACTTGTCTTGATTGGCCAACCACACAATGAACCTATGTCTAGGTAGCATTATTGAGTTCCATATCAAATCGGCTTCTTTAAGCCTGTCCATATCTGCCAGTAGTGCAATATAGCTCTTGCTTACAGAGTAGGATCCATTTGAGGTCAGACAATAGGCATCACTAGTATACCAAGTTACCAACTAGTCATCACATCTTTGAGGGAATTAAGTTTCCTCCAATACCAACTACTATCCACAGAAGGTACATGAGTCCAGATATCCTCGATGTCTCTCATATACAATCCATGGATCTACTTAATCCACAATGAGTCTGCTTTACATGCTAGTTGCCATATTAATTTTCCTACAGAACAGTGTTATTAAAAGCGCTCGCTTCTCGCTTTAAGCGCTGAAGCGAGGCGCAGGACTATCGCTTTTGTAGCAGAAAAGCGACTCACATTTAAAAAGCACTCGCTTCTCCCACTTAAGCGAGAAGCGCCTCGATGTAAAAGCGATAAAAAAGCGTGCTTAAGCGAGCAGAAGGCATCTGCTAGGGTTTTTTAGAATTGTTTTTGGCAGATAAGCCATCTGTTAACAAATAAACATACGCTCTTCACCGACTTCTTCTCCAGCGAACTCCAGCGACGACGAAGTCTCCAGTTCTCGGTAAGTTTCTTCTTCTTCTTTCAATTTTTTTCACTTTTTAAGTGCTGATTTTATGCCCTAAACGACTTCTTATTCTTCCGTTCTACTTTGTGCTCTGTTTTATGCTTTATGCTCTGTTTTCTGCTTCGTGTGAATTAACTGTTGTGCTTTTTGTTTTGGTTGTTGATTGTAGTAAATTTAATTTGCTTAATATGTTATTTTTAATGAGTTTTTAGCCATTTATCTATGCCTATTTTATTTTTTTTATTTATGTGTTAAATTGCGCTTCGCATGAAAAAAGCACGCGCTTCGCTTCGTACTAGGCCTGTCGCTTTTTTGCGCTTAACGCTTTCCATAACACTGCTACAGAAGTAATGTTTCATATTAGTCCTCCATGCTTCTTTGGTCTGCATAGTCTTTCCCATGACACTAGTGTAACTTTCCTCTTCCCTTCCATGCTTCCCCAGAGATACTCCCTACACTTTTCTGTCTACTTCTTTTAGTATGCTATGAGGCAGAATAAAGACAACACCCCAAAAGTTATATACTGAAAACAATACTGCATTTATTATTTGCAGCCCCCCTACATAAGACAGTGTTTTTGCATAAGCACTTGTAATTCTACTTGTGATCTAGTCCACTAGCTGGTGGTAATCTATTTTACTCCATTTCTTAGAGGAAAGAGGCAAGCCCAGATATCTTATTGGCAGAGTGCCTACTGAGAATCCTGTTAATTATACTAATTGATTCTTGATGTCATCATCCATTCCTGCCATAAAGATACTTGACTTCTCCATGTTTGCCATTAGCAGTGACATCGCTGAAATGAGTGAGAGCCTCCATTAGTCTAGAAAAAGATTTCATATCATCCTTGTAGAATAGCATTAAGTCATCAACAAATACTAGGTGAGTCAGTTTAGTATGCTTGCACATGGGATGATATTTGAAGGCAAGCAGGTCCCCTATCTTTTTCAAGATTCTAGACAGATATTGGATCATCTTGTCGCAGACCCCTTCTTCATTCAAAATATCCATGCCCTCCCAATTCACCTTGATTGAAAAGTTAGAGGATGTGACACACCCCATGACTTACTATGAATGCTCTTGGAAAACCATAGCCTTTTAATGCTTATTCAGTAAATTCCCAGCTAACCATATCATAGGCCTTCTTTTAAGTCTATTTTAATCTTTTAACCATACTTGACTTCTTTTAATATTTATTTATAAAATATTACAAATCAACTGCCAGATACATTCACTGACCTATCAAGGATGACTAAGTCACATATTTCAACTACTAATGCTCCTATTCGAATTAATGTCTCGACTGGACAATCTATAAATGCAAATGAGTCTAAGCCACACTTGAAACATAGTAGATCTAGGGGTGTTCATAGTTCGGTTTGGATCGATTTTTCCCTAAAAAGAAACCAAACCAAGTAAGTCCGTTTTTCATATATTAGAACCAAACCAAACCAATTAAGTCGGTTTTTTCTCGATTCGCTTTATGTCGGTTTTTCGGTTATTTGTCGGTTTTTTCTTAAATGTAAGACATACACTACCAAACACATATTTCGGCGACCACATTTTCAACGTAACACTATCAAATCAATTGCCCTTTGAGAAATCTATTATTTACCAAGATATATTGATGATAATTGAATCAAATAGTGATGAATAATTTAAGAACTCAATTAAAAATATATTATTTTTAACATGAATAGATTCTTACACTTAACAAAAGAAAACTACCGATCAAACTATAATGTAAAGGTAAAGAACTGTACTAAAAGTGCAAACGATTAACATTTACTATCAAAAATTTGAAACTTTGTATAAAAGTATACATATATATATAGGTGTAATAATGAATTTAATAGCTACTCCTATATTCGGTTTGGTTCAGTTTTTTTTATTAAAACCAAAACCAAACCAAATTTGGTCGGTTTTAAATTTCAAAACCAAAACCAAACCAAACCAAAAAGTATCGGTTTTTTTTGGTCGGTTTGGTTTGGTTCGGTTTTCGGATTTTTATGAACACCCCTAGGTAGATCAATCGGTTCCAAAGATAAAAATTCCAGAAAGAGAAGGAGCAAATGGTCTAGGGGATCATAATATGGAGACAATTGCTCCAAAAGAGCCATGTGATATAACAACTGATAAGAACTCAAAAGGGGTACATGTACCTGAAAATAATAAGAATGAAGAGATCTCATGAATAAATTATGCCTCCGCGGAAAAAAGGTGAGATCGAAATAATATTATTGTCGATAACGTTTTTGCTTATAATGTTACTGTTTAAATAATGCAATAAGATGAGATCTTGAACCAAGATTTGTCAATGAATGTAGACAGAGAGTGATTGGCCAAAATGGACGATGCCATCCAGGCAGAATTAACTTCACTTGAAAAACGCGAACTATTCGGACGTATAGTTCGAACACCTGAAGGATTAAAGCCAGTGAGATACAAAAACAAAATGATAAAAATAAAATCGTTAGATATAAAGCATGGTATGTGGCTCAAGAGTTTTCGCAAAGGCCTGACATTGATTATATGGAGACATATTCTCCTGTGGTGGATGCAATTACCTTCAGGTATCTTATAAATCTGGCAATCCATGAAAAACTTGATTTGTGTCTGATGGATGTTGTCACAACTTATTTGTATGGTACATTAGACAACAAAATTTATATGAAAATTCCTGAAGGATTTAAAGTGCCTGAAATTTATAAAAGTTTATGGAAAACTTATTTAATAAAGCTTCAAAAATCCTTATATGGATTGAAACAATCACGGTGAATGTGGTATAATTTCTTAAGTGAGTGCTTGCTGAAAGAAGGGCATAAGAATGATCCAGTTTGTCCTTGTATCTTTATAAAAAGGTCTTGATCTAAATTTATTATAATCGATGTGTATGTTGATGATATGAATATCATTGGAGTTCCTGGGGAACTTCCAAAAGTAGTGAATTATTTGAAGAAAGAGTTTGAAATGAAAGATCTTGAAAAGACAAAATTTTATCTTGGTCTACAAATTGAGCATATGAAAGATGGAATTTTGTCCATCAATTTATACCGAAAAGATCCTAAAGCGTTTTATAGGGATAAATCACATCCATTGAGTATCCCGATGGTTGTGAGATCACTCGATATATATAAAGATCTATTCCGACCTCATGAAAAATGATGAAGAGCTTTTTGGTGATGAAACTACATATTTTAGTGCAATTAGGGCACTAATGTATCTTTCAAATAATACTTGACCAGATATAACTTTTACGGTAAGTTTATTAGCAAGATTTAGTTCCTTTCCAACAATAAGACACTGGAATGGTGTTAAGCATATTTTCAGATACCTTCGAGGACTATTGATATGTGATTATTTTACTCTTATGAAGTCAATTTACAAATAATTCGTTATGCAGATGCTGATTATTTGTCTAATCCACATAAAATCCGATTTCAAATAAGCTATCTATTTACTTGTGGAGGTACAACTATTTCATGGCGTTCAATAAAATAAACTTTAGTTGCTACATCTTTTAATCATGCAGAGATAGTAGCTAATCATGAAGCTAGTTGAGAATGTGTATGGTTGAGATTAGTGACT